CATTCAGTTTTGCATCAGAACGTCTATATACAGGGACCATGACGGGTGGGCCATTGCTGGGGAGAGGAAGAAATCATGACTACAGCTGAGTTTAGACAACGCCTTGACATTGTCTAGGCGTGAACATTGCCGAGGTCGATTTAGAGGATGTGTATATTTGGACGACCATATAGACAAGCTATTGGACGCCTGTTTTGGGCTCACGTCGTGAAAAACGAGTATAGACATCCATATAGACAAGCTATTGGAGATGCTCTAAGTGTCTTAACTTTGTACTAACGTTAGTACTAAGATCGAGACACTTATTTTGGGACGGAGGGAGTATTATCCTCCCAGTTCAAATACGCGTCATCTTTTTTTTATTTTTTTGCTTTACATGAAATACGCGTCAGGACCGAATCGCAAAGCAAATAGTCAACTGCCGGCCGAGTCGTACTCGTGCACACGTCGGTTCGACGGACAGTTCGTCCGCAGCTGCCAAAATTGCCAAATCATCATCCCCACCGTTTCCTTTCCCCCTCCTCCGCCGCTCCCGTCCCCTCCCCTCCGCGACCGAAACAATGGGCGTCCTCCCTTCAATCTGACGCCCCAATCCATGAGAACCCCCGCGCCACAATCCGATCTTGCCGCCCCAGGATGTCCCTGCCCGACGTCGTGTACAGGTGATTGCCCTCATACCATCTACTCGTCCCAATTTGTCCGGTTAGGTGTCTTGGGTTGTTCGGGCGGGAATTAGGGACGGGTTCTTGGAGTCTCCGGCGGATTGGCTACGGGCTAGGCTCTCAGGTACTGGGCTGTTCTACGAAGGTGGCTCTGCTAGGTTCTGAGCTTTCCGAATGAGTATATCTTGGTGTCTTAATTTAGGAATCAAGAACCTAGGATAAAGAATCTGTTGCCTGTTACATAATTATTAGTTGGTGTAGAATTTACTCCTACTTCACGTGGGATATGTCTACTCGTGATAATGGATGCTTTTTGTTGTCTGATAAACAGAATTCTTGGTTTGCATATGCTTGTTCTGCAAATTGGGCTATCCATCCATGGCCTCCATGTACAACAATTCTGTTTTTTTTTTTTTTTGCGAATAAGAATAGAATGTCTTATTTTGTAGCTTGGTGGTAGTCGACTTTATGATATCAGGAATATTCATGGTGCTGGAGCTTTTGGAGCGCAATTAATTAATTGAAACGTATAAGTAGAGATCCATCTATTTGGCGTGTGCTTTCTTGGGGATTCTCCTTGCATATAATGTTCATACACCTTGTTACACGTGGACATGCTGACGTGAACGTATGAAACTTGAAACGTTTGTGTTGCCACAGAGTTTGTGTAGAATTAGTTGGTGTAGAATCTGTTGGTGTAGAATTATAAAGAATCTGTTCCCTACTGCATAATTAGTTGGTGTAGAATTTACTCCTACTTCACTCGGGATATCTCTACTCGCGATAATGGATGCTTTTTGTTGTCTGATAAACAGAATTCTTGGTTTGCATATGCTTGTTGTGCGAATTGGGCTATCCATCCATGGCCTCCATGTACAACAATTCTGGTTATTATTTTTTGCGAATAAGAATAGAATTTCCTACTTTGTAGCTTGGTGATAGTCGACTTTATGATATCAGGAATATTCATGGTGCTGGAGCTTTTGGAGCGCAATTAATTAATTGAAACGTATAAGTAGAGATCCATCTATTTGGCGCGTGCTTTCTTGGGGATTCTCCTTGCATGATAATGCTCATACACCGTGTTACACGTGGAAATGCTGAAGTGAACGTATGAAACTTGAAACGTTTGTGTTGCCATGGAGTTTGTCCTTTAAGTACCTGCACCATCCGCAATCTTGCAACCATCTAGCATTTAACCTCGCACCACTAGGCATTACAATTGGTAAGTGGGGATTTGCCATGTTCTAAAAGTGGATCATACGAGGCATCACCAAAGATTCCTTTTCAACTGGCAAAGAATATTCTTATAATTTTTTATTTTCTGAATTCAGGCTTTTTCTTTGGTTTGACTTGTTTGTTTTCTTCAATAGTAGAATCGTAATGTTTGATACTAAGTACTTATATATTTACAGCAGTAAACAGTCTCTTGACTATCGCTGAACAGTAATGCCTTGCATTTCTGTGATTGTTCTTTATCAATGCTGCAATAAAAAAATATTGTGAAGGAATCTCGGGAAGAATTTAGGGTTGATACACATTGGGTAAACGGAACCTGTTATTGATAAGTATTGACATATATGGATCTTTTTTGTTGGCATTATATTACATAATTCTTATTACTAACAGTTAAGTATCAGCTTGATTGTTTCGCCATTTTTTTTTACCCAAGTACTATATTTTACCTTTCTGGTGACATAATGTTACATGACTCTTATTGCTAATAACAGCTAAGTACCAGCTTGATGGTTTCACCAGTTTTTTTGGGCTACTATGCCCCTTCTGTACAAAACATTTTTGGTACTGTACGGTGTTTTCTTTCCTTTTCTGCATGATTTTTTGACAATAATTACATGTCTATTGGCAGCTGTGGATCCTGTGGATATGCTCTAAATCTTTCATCTTCTAACAGAAGCACATCTGACGTAGGATCCTCGTACCAAAAATCTCTGAAGAAGGGTCTGATTTCATTCACTTCTATTGATCTCAGCCGTTTTACTCAGGTTGACGAGATATCTTGTTTTCCTTTCCTTACCTGGCGTAGCTACCGGCCAAAAACTAAGCTTCTGTGCCGAAAATGTGGATCATCTATTGGCTATGGATACGGTGAGCCACCTGTATTGTGTAGCTTTGATCCAGCAAGTTCTTCCTCGGGTACATCCCAAAACTATTTAATAAAGATCCAGTCTCTCCGACTTTCAGACGGTACTCAATAATTGGTCAAGTGTAGTCAGAATATGGAAAAAGAGATGATGGATAACAGCATAGAAGGCTGTATCAGTTGCCTTTCTGATGATTGCTTGCTTTCTATATTTAACAAGCTTGAAAGTGAATCGGACAGGAATGCTTTTGGGTTAACTTGTAAGAATTGGTTCAAGGTTCGAAACATTGCTCGAAAATCGCTAATATTTCATTTCTCATTTGATACTAAAGTATACAAGGAGCATGCCCAGTGCCTTCCAAAGATGTTGGCCCGTTCTCCATATCTTAAGTTGATATCCCTTGCGGGGCTTAATGAGCTATCTGATTCAGCTCTGTATGAAGTGGGAGTTTCTGGAACATCTTTGCAGTCCTTCTCATTGTACTCCTGTTCTGGCATAACAGATGATGGTCTAGCACAAGTGTCAATCGGATGTCCTAATTTGGTTATAGTGGAACTTTACCGCTGCTTAAATATCACCGATCTTGGTTTGGAAAGTCTTTCCAAGGGCTGTCATTCTTTGAAGAGTCTTAACCTTGGTTACTGCACAGCCATTTCAGATCGAGGGATTAGTTCAATCTTTAGGAATTGCCGAAACATTTGTGCACTCATCATATCATATTGCAGAGGTGTATCTGGTGTTGGATTTAGAGGTTGCCCAAGTACACTTTCTTACCTAGAAGCTGAGTCCTGCATGCTTTCTCCAGAGGGAATGCTAGACATATCGAGTGGTGGTGGACTCCAGTACATAAATTTGTATAATCTAAGGAGTTCAGCTGGGCTGGATTGCCTAGGTGGAGTTGGCAGTATGAAGAAACTCCGAGTTCTGAATCTGAGGATGTGCCGCAATCTTACTGATGATTCTGTGGTGGCAATAGCTAGCGGGTGTCCGTTGATTGAGGAGTGGAGCCTTGCTGTCTGTCATGGCGTCCGCTTACCTGGTTGGTCGGCGATTGGATTGAACTGCAACAAGCTAAGAATTCTTCATGTGAACCGTTGCAGAAACATATGCGACCAAGGATTGCAGGCTCTCAAGGACGGATGTGTGCGCCTTGAGGTCTTGCATATACATGGCTGTGGAAAGATTACAAATAATGGCCTGGCACTGTTCAGCATTACTAGGCCTAGTGTGAAGCAAATGGTGGATGAAGCCATGTCCATTGGCCCCTCCATCGAGGATTTATTCCGGTTGCAGTGATCGGGAACTCTGAAAGTTTAGTTAGAACTTTGAAGTTTTGACTTGAGCAAGGCGCCAGCCCTTGTTGTCACCAGTGTGTTTGTCATTACAGCAAGGTGATTGGTTCTTTGACCATCACCATGTGTGCATTCTATTTGTTCCGGTTCATACTTATTTGGTTGATGATGTAAAGGATGTTGCAGACATAACCATAACTATACAAATGAACTGTAAGAAGTCAGTTTGGTGCTACCGTTATTTGCATGTTCCCGCTCTGGTTTTTGGCTGTAAAGTGCTGTCATGAAATTTGATACTAGCTAAATCTATTGTCTTATTTAGTCATTTTCAAAGCACTTGAAAGTTTAATGTGATTCGTAACCATTCCCCGAAACCAAAGCTTGACCTTCAGTTCCTACAAATTATTACAAGAACCAAAAAGTCCTTACCAGTATAAGAAGTAATTCGTTTATACTTGTGTAAGAGTTGTGTAGGTCTGCACCAAATTGGAACTACGATCGGTCAAATAGTAATCACCTAACTCCACAGATCAGCAACACTGTAACATGAAACTGCCACATACTCATACACTTGCTGATGGCCTAATAACTTCAGAAATAATAAGTGATCGTACACTCAGAATCCTTCCCCTTTTTGAAGTGTGCATGTGTACTGCCACAATTCATTGGTATTACTAATGGTACATCGGCAAAAATTTGTACAAAGGTGAAATAAAACTACCACAGGCAAAACCTATCTGAGACCCAGAGTAGCCCACTCAGCTACTCAATGCGCCAAGACCTTCTCAGTGGTGTGCTCAACAGCCACATAGTTCCAGATGGCCGACAGCTTGAGTAGGAACATTGTTGAACCCCTTGGCAACGGTTTAGATCAGCGCCACGCTAAAGCCATAACATGTCATGAGTAAAACACTGTGTTTTGCACCATGCGGCATCACCCTGACCTATTGACCAGATATAAAGCTACTACCCGAAGAAGCTCCAGTGGCACATGGAACATCTCGTACTTGAACTTTCATGATGCGTGCCCCGGTGGTGTCTAGTACATCAAGGCATTCCTGGAGATCAGCATCGCTCGCTAAAATCACCCATTCATCCTCATCATCCTTGTACTTGAGCTGAAATGCGCCAACTGATAGCTTCAGCCTCTTTGCGATTTCTTCAAGCAGATCCTGGTATTTCATGGATGGTAGTAATTTCAACCTTACAGTGTCATCCTTGTAAGCGGCCTTCACAACTATGCTCGCATTGCTTCCATCTACTGGTCGACTCTTCAAGCATTTCTTCAAAGTCCCATCACTCGATGTACCGCCACTGGAGCAATCTGTCATGCTGGAAGAAGATGCCAGGCTTTGCTCAACAATCGCATTAGACTTGTCTGTTTCTATCTCAATTTTCCATTGCTGAGGCATAGAAATAGAATTCCACAATACATTCTTTTGCTCAGCTCCCTCAACCCACATCTCCATACCGCCAGGACAGATCATTTCTTTTGTAAGATATGAATCGTTTGACGCATCCTGACACTCTGACCCTTTTGATGTTCTACCAAAATGTGAATTTCGAGATAACCCTCCAGGATTCAAGTTAATATGAGTTTCGCTCCTTTTCTCATTCTGTGCTTTGTGGGGTACAGCTTGGCCTAGATGTTCTCTTTTGTATGCATCATAATCAGGTTGGAACTTACGGCATTCAGTGGGCAGGGAATCAGAACTTCGATGTTCAACATTCATCATCGAAGGCTCTTCAGTATGGGAAACAGATGAAACAATACATCCAGTGGCAGGATCATATTTTATCACTCCATCCACTTCGTGTACAGTACTTATCACATTCTGAATCTTCTCTAGTGACCGATTTACCTTCTTTATCTTACGAGATGGCCACCTTGATATTCCATGCTGCCGGCATATCCTTTTCAGTGTTGTAGGACAAACTGCAAAGGAACAAAAGATTCCTTAAGTTCCTTCACCTAGAGCTTCATATGGTTACTTGGATTTTTCTAATGGTGGTGTGCTTTGTTCAGATTCACCACCTAACTGAATAACAACCATTGATTTGTATAAATATATACCAGCAAATGACTGACAGCATAAAGAGCTTACCACCAATGCTCTTTGCAGCATCTTTTAAACTGCCAGCAAAGTATTGCTGAAGGATTTTCAAGCTAACATGCTTCTCCGTTGAGCTGCGTATTTTCAGCCCATCAGATGTAGATTCCTGAAGGAGAGTCAAGCTAACATTCTTCCCTGTTGAGCTGCAGTTTTCAAAATTTTGAGATGTAGTGCCAGGTTCAAACTGCAAAACAAATGAAATGAGATTAGACATTAGTTTTAAATTTGTAGGGCATGTTTTATACTGAGATACCCTTACGCTCAACAGCCTCCTGATCCAATCAGACTTTGATCCGATAAGAGCTTTTAGATATTTACGACCGTATACAGTATCAAAACAGATGTAGATGAACCCCATAGAGAGTACTATCATAATGAAAACGAACAATCACGACAAAAGAGAAGAAATTTGGCGAGGCTGACCATAAACACAACCTCAGAAAAGCACAAGGGTTGTCACTCTCTCACAGCCATATCACTCCTTTAGGACCCTTGGATCTTGTCCTATACAAGAATCTAGTGCTGAAGAAACCTAGTCTCTTATCCGCCTTTCTTGTTTTTTTCAGAACAATCCTATCCTCTCGCTTTAGTCTTGTATTACTTGATTGCTCGGGTTGTGTTCCTTTGGCCAGCAACGTCACACGTTCCCACTTGACCACTGAGGACTCCCATTTCGCGTAGGATTCCTCGAGGATTTCTTATAGCAGATGTGTTTGAATTCTAATTGGTTTAGGATATAGTCTCTGTTTCAAAATATTCATCTAACATAACTACTACATTAGTTTATGGAAAATATATAACGGCATTCAGATCTCTAGATCTGCATTATAAACTGGAAAGATGTTTGAACTTCTCAGCTACAAAGACTTAATAAGATTCAAAATCGATATGGTGTAATCGTATACATGTTTTATTTCTAGGACGCATTTTAGTTAAGCTCTGCAAAACCTAAGAACGCCTTTTGATGAAATATTAAAAGAAGTTGACAAGATGATGCAGCAGGAACAGATATCTACAACTATATGCAGTACAATACAAGGAAATGAGCCCAAAAAATGTTATGCAGGAAACTTTTCCTTGTTGACCAAAATTTCAGTACATCTACAACTATATTGCAGTACTTTGTTGACCAAAGTTCCAACTTACGGGCCTTTATTATGGACTGGAGCACAGAAAGCCTGGAGCAATCAGAAGACAGAGAGGAGAGAAAGGAGGGAGATAAAAGTTGAGAATGAAAAAAGAACCTTGGCATATTTTTTATCCGCCAGTTGCTCAACACTGTTTTTTATCTGATTTTCTAAAGGCACATTTATTTTGACTTCACTGGATACATCAATTTGGTTACATGAACTAATAGAAACATCAGACGACGAGCATCTTATTTCTGATCGCATTGTTGTGGTGTTTTCCTTCAGTTCAGCATCTGAAACTGTTCTCAGACTACTGCATACTCTTTGCATGGTCATTGAGATGTCGTCAAGTAAGAGCTGTTGTTCTTCACGAACTTTGCATGTCAGTGGAAGGAAAAACTCTAGCACATAGTCATCATTGCCAGTGTATGTGCTACGCAACCTGATAGCAACAGCAGCATGAAGACCAAACTTACGGGCATGATGTGCCAGCGGATAATCATGCATATCATATTCTCTCACATCGGATGAGAAGAAGGGATGATTTGATAAAATTGCATTTCCAGCAACACCTTGTCCTTTCTCAAGGGGGTGTTCTGCACAGGCACGGAGGAAATCATGCATTCTCATGTCATTGATGTAACAGGCAGATTCTTGAACGCAAAGGACATCTTTGTTCCTCAGACCAAACTTTATAGCCTGGTCACCATACTCTGCTGACACATTCAAACTGCTGTTGGGGCAAACTGGAATCCATGCAAGTGCCAAAGGTAGCATGTGTGTATGGCAAACAGCTCGGAGAACATCCAATATTTCCGTCAATACTGATTGCTGATTCCTAGTAAGGCTCTGCAACATAGAGTATTGAGTTAAATTTCAACAATTATGTTGACACATGTCTTTTCTGTGCACTGGACGCAACAGTAATACATAATGGTACCTGAGGATGTGTCCTTGCTCGCACAGTGCTCAGATGAACAGACTGCAAGATTACAAATGTCACAATTAATATTATGAGAAATGCTTTGGGCTTACAGATCATATGTGTACAGGCTTAGATTGGAACAGAAAATTAGCACCCATTTTGGAAATACAGTTCATGTATAATAATTCTACTAATTTCATCGACTCATTTCCGTGTTTGAACTGTAGATAGTTTCAAACATATTTGTAAAAATAAGTTTGTACCGCATTTGAGAAGTCAAACTTTACAAACCAAGTTTATAGAGAAAGCTATTTATATGTAAAAAATACCAGCTATATATAATATGAAAATATGTCTCATGATTATGTAGTTGGTATTCTAGATGTAGATATTTATCTCTACAAACTTGGTCAAAGTTTGTAAAGTTTGATATCCAAAAAGTCAATATACACTATATATTATGGAACAGAGGGAGTACTTTGATAAGAATCAACATATGTGTAAGAAAGCTAAAAACCGTAAAATATCTTATGCTAAAACTTCCATATGAATAATTGAAGGAAGTGCTTTTTATGGAGCATATACAGTACTACAGTGCACTTCCACTACCACTACTGTGAGTTCTGAGAAGAAGATTGAAGAAAATACATTTGTCCAGTTGTCTAGTTTGAAAGTAGTGCCACTAAGCAGATTACCTTTTTCACTACATAACATTTTTTAGTAACTTTTTAAGTAATCTAGTTCGCAAGTGAAGAGTGCAAGGTGTACACCAATAATGGGGTTCCACTGAGCACATAATTTTTTTTATCAGGTGCACTAAAAGCACATCACCTCTCTTGATTATACAAACTTGATACTATCTGCTTCAGTTCATGATATTGTGCCTGTTTAGTATAACATATGAATCTGTAATGAACTGCAAAGAAAACAATGACGAAGCAATGATTTCAGCAGTAACCAAATTTGCAACTGGATAAACTGTATCAGCTTAATCCGACAGTATACTTTAATAAAAGAAGTTATTATACTGGAAGCAAGCAGTTAGATAAAAAGAAAAGGTAATCAAGAAATAATCATCAACCTGCAGAGCATTAGAAAGGTTGTCCATCTCTGAGCAAAAGTTATCCTTTTCCTGTGTCATGACTACTTCCAACACAGCACAGCAAGAGCCGCCACTTGAGTTGAAAACCGGCATGGCAAGGGATCCCCGGACTTCATTGCGAATCGCATAGTCTACCCTCAAGAACTCTGAAGTGTTGTAGTACATCACGTTCGATGTCCACTCTGGCATACCGGATATGAAAACACGCCCAGGCAATCCAGGAAACAGACCAGGTCCTTCTGTGGCTGAGAATGTGAACTGCCTAGAGACTTCCCTGTACCCTGTGAGCCTCTCATCAAGCAAGAAAGGCTGGTCAGAGGTGGTCAGCACTTGGTGATCTCCATTTCTTACAGGGATCCAAACTTGCACAAGGACTGGCCCAGCAGTTGATGCTTCTTTAAGCATGGCCAATGCCCTGAGCATCCTCTCCATCAGGGTGACGCCACCATAAACTGTCTTTGGGACAGTGGGAGCGCTAACGTTCATGACCTCGTTAGAGGCTAAACTGACAGAGCAATCACTACCATCAGTAATGGAAACATCACCTTGCTCCTCAGCATCCACAGAAGGTGGTGAAGGTGAGATATGTGTCACCTGCTGCACAGGTGAAACACTGAAAGACGGCAAGATACCGTCACTAAATGAAGGACCGGCGCCGAGCTCTGGGAAACTGTCAAGGTCATCAAACCCTGAGAGCATGAGCAGGTCCATGTCCGAGCCCCCACCGCTGTAATCTGGTGTCCCATTCTCATCCATGCCTGACCTTTCTCCTCCCAAGATCAAATCTTTCTGAACCAAAACACAAAGAATTTCTATTCCTGCAGAGACATTTACTTTTAGCAACATCTAACGAAATCCTACTAATCTTCCATAGTGCAGAATTTACACTTTCATCTACCCAGAAGGGAACAATTTTGCACAATAAAGCACACATATGGCAACGACTAATACACATGAAGTGAGATTTCCCTTCCAAACCCTCAAAGAAAAAAAAATCCCTTCCAAAAATAAGCGAGATTTCATTATCATATATATCTGCTCCTCAGTACAAGAATTAGTCCTACTTAATGTCGAACAGTGCAGTTCTTGGAAAAATGAAGGGAAAAGGGAATAATTTCATGCAGCGCAGCAGTTCTTCAGGAAAGCAAGCTCAAAACAGAAACTCTGGGTGGGTCATGTCTCCTCATACCTCGGGTAATTCGTGGACGAAGAAACCAGAATCCAATCCGGGGGGAATGGAGCGCTGGCGCTCGACCCTCGCGACCTGATACCTAAGTAGCTGCGGAAGTGCACATGAACCCCCAACACAAGCCTGTCACCATCATCGCCACTTATTTTCTGTATAAAAAAGTGAAGATTTTTGTAGCGCACGACAGGGAATAAACTAGTTCTATAGAAGCGGCAGGACCGCTATGGATTCAAAGAGACGAGGTGAGGTGGTTGCTGGAGGAGATTCCCAAGATTCCCTCTCGCCGGGGGAGGAATGATAAGAGGGCGGCCGGTAGGGGAGGAACTCGGAACTCTTCTCCCCCTGCCACTGCTCTTCTGCTGTCCTTTTGCTCTCTGTTTGGTACTTGCACATACTCCGTACATCTTTCGGTCCATGCGCTTGAACTCTTTTGCTATTACAAACAGGTACCCGGATTTTAATTTTCTCCTAAGCTTGTTGATGAGATTTTTTTTGCACACAGTACATATTAATTGTTGAAGGGAGTTACTGTGTACTCCCTCCGTTCGATATTAACTGTCTCTCAAACGGATGCATCTAGCACTAAAATACGGCTAAATAGATTCGTCTAAGCCACAATTAGTACTGGACAGAGGGGGTATGATGTTAGGAAATCATGACAAAAAGTTATGAGGTTGTCTTAGAAGGTAATATGTGTTTTTATCTTTTATGGCATACAAGTG